CCACGGTCATTATGAAGCATTTCCGGTAAAATTCTGGCCACGCTCCTCCCTTCCATTTTCTGGTTACTGCCTATGTTTTTAGAGTAAGCTCCTAAGTTCCAGTGGGTGATTCCCATCACCCACTGGAACACAAGTTAAATCCCCAAAACTCCAAAACACATTACAACAATGATTGGTTCACCCCAAAGATCCAGTTCCCCGGCAAAAACAGAGTAATATTGTATACGCTGCTAAGTGCCAGGAAGACTGTGATCAGTTATACATCAGGGAAACAAAACAGCCACTGTTCAAAAGAATGAGCCAGCACAGATCAACATCTATAGGCCAGGACTCTGCAGTTTACACTCATGTACAGGCCAGCGGTCACTCTTTCAGGGATGAAGATGTTCTCATCCTTGATAGAGAGGAACGTTGGTTTGAGAGAGAAGTAAAGGAAGCCATTTTTGTGAAGAAAAACCGTCCACCATTAAACAGAGGTGGAGGCCTTCGTGTCAAGTTGTCCTCCTCCTACAATGCTGTTAGTGCAAGTACGACTCAGCCCCCGTGAGCAAAAGGTGTGAATCAAGGTCCCAAAGACAGTCAGTTGATAGGGCACGACCCTCTATGAACAACAGAGCTAATCAAGGCACTAACAACCTATTGTTTGGCTGATGGTCCTGTTTTGCATGTGACTAACCTGTTTGTCCTGTTCGAAGCAGTGCTTATAAGACTGAGTTCACCTGAAACTCCTCAGACTGAAGAAGTCTCTCGGAGAAGAGACAAAACATTTCATTGAAGAAGAACCCGTCCAGGGTAAATATTTTTCTTTTTGATGTTATAATAAAACCATTCTTCAACAATTTAAACTGTTAGCCGGAAAACAAACTATCCTTCTGAAAATGGCTTCAGCTGTCATGAAATACAATGAGCAGTTGTTCTTCAATGCTAGGGTATTCCCATACATATTGCCTATTGTCATGAATAAAGCCAGTGGAGAAAACAGCATGACTCAATTCTGATGGTGGACGTAAGTGCCAGCATTACCCTAGAGTCCTCTAAATCCCTCTGGAGTTTTTCAGCTTTGGTCTTTTCAAAGAGCAGGTTCTGCTCAAGCTCCTTTATGTGGGCATGCTCCAGCCTGGTCTGCGTCTGTTAGTAAGAAAAAGCATGAAGAGGAGAGAAAACACCAATGCAACATACCAGCCTTAAGCAACAGACAGAAAAAAAGGCTTTGAAAAGAAGAGCAGCAAGTGATGGACTGATTGGATTTTTTTTCAACATTTTGTCGTTTGAAATAATCTGAGTTAATCATTGTTTTAATATCCTATTTCTCAGATATGTTCATTTGATTTTCTCTTCAGCACTTGAAATAAACTACCTTAGTAACTAATTCTTCACAAGAGAGAAGAAGATGCATGTAACAAGCATAATAAACGAAGATGAAAGCAAGTAAGAAGAAAGACAACAATTACAAAAAAGGATATGAAAATGGTAATGTCATTAAAGGCAGATGGAGAATGAATGGTTTAATAAAACGGAGTAGGAAAAATGATGAGTTAGACATTGAAAAAGTTAAAATGTACAGCGGAAGGAAAACCTTTGAAGGAAAGATTGCTTTAAATTAGTTATTTTATTAAAACAACTTCAGTGTTCTTTCCTGGTTTTTGCTATAAAAAGAAAATGGAGCAAAAGTAGTGAAAAAGAACACTCGGAATTTGAAAAGAAAGGTTATGTTTTGAGTTTAAAGTGTAAATATTAGGAGGGATAAAGAGTCAATTTCATTGACAAAAATTATTAAGAAAAAAGGTTGTCCTTCAAGCTAATCTGGAGGAAATGCATCCTGCTGTGCTCCTAAACCCAACTGGATTTGTTTCATCTTCTTCATCGTCATCTTCATTATTGTATCTGATAGTTATTGGTACACTTTTACTCGGTTAACTACATAAAAATTATTTTGAATTTCTTCATATCTCCATCCCTTCTCTCCCTCAGATCTGCCTCCACCTCTCTGTACCTTATGCCTATCCCACCACCATTTGGACCCATGCATTCAGAAACTCTGCCCCCTGACTCTGGAACTCAATACCCGCTGAAATAAGAAATATCACCTCTCTCTCACTATCCAGTAATGATGTGCAGATAGATACTGAAATATCGATACTACTGATACTAGAACTTTATGTTCTGGAATTGATACTAAAATCAAAACATCGATAATTTGATACTTTAGTTACTTCACATAATGTACATCATTAACAGGAACATAGTGGAAAATAACTACCGGTAAACTATTCCAATCTTGTCTTAATCATATGTTGTTGAGGGAACTACTTTTTCTTCCGCTTGAGCAATGCATAAGCACAGTGGCACGTCAGTCACTCAGTCTGTAGATGTATGTATGTATGGCAGGTCATTTTAACATAAAATCTGCTTTGTCTGACTGTCTGTAATTAAATTCTAGATGAGGGGTTCCCAAACTTTTTTATGCCATGGCCCCCCCAAACAGCATTAGCTTTGGCCAAGGACCTTCTTGCAAACCCACAAACAATGCTACAAAATATACAAAGTAACAACTTTTAGAATATTTTTGTCACTTTTATTCACTATTCAAAAATTATTAGATTTCTTTACAATAAGAATTGTGCTAAACAAATATAAGATTAGGGTTAGAAAGACTTTTAAATTAAATAAATTACTCTCTCATGTATTATTTATAAAGCGGTAATTTTAAAAATGCATCTTTTTAAAATTTACCAGACACATTGTGTGTGTTATCACAAAGTATCAGTATCGGATCAGTGTCGCCGATACCAGCCAAATTTTACTTGGTATCAGTATCCAAAAGAAAACTGGCAGTATCGAACATCACTACTATCCAGAACTAGACTGCAAACCCATCTCATTATACAGTATCAGCTTACTCCTCTTACTTTACTCAGGTGTACTTAGATTACATTGTATTTTGTAATACTTATGAGTTTGTAATTGTTTATATATCATTAGAATATATATATTATTAGATGTACATTGTCCTTCAGTGTACAGAAAAGTGCTTTTTAAATAAAACGTATCATTATTATGATAGTATTTAGCTGAACTGGTCAGAGGTACAGTTTATTTTACACGCTGCAGCAGAACTTTAAAAAAATATTTCAATCCTTTACAATAAGAGTTTTAAGCCTATACACTAAGTGCTAACCTAAAAAACTGTCTCAAAATTTTCAAGCATAAAAAATAACTTACAATGTTTTTCTTCAGTAAAACAGATCCTCTAGCCTAGACCACCAGGACTTTTGAGAGTATTTAAAAGTCAGCACTCAGTGTGTTTAAGATTAAAGATTAAAATACTTTATGTAAACTAAGCTGCAGAGGGACTGGTTTAACTAAGGTTTTGCATGACATTTTGATGTTAACCCAGAAAAAATTACACAGATAACAATCAGATACATAGTAAATTAAACAAATTCAGTCACATTCAGGAGGAGTGGTGTTCAGTTCATGCGGTTTAATTCTTGAAATGTGACTTTTTTTTCTGTCGATATTTACATTTTAACCTGAAAATCTAACAAAAAAATGTATATTTTCCCTTTCCAAGAGAGTAAATATATTAGATATATTTTTAAAACTATAATAAAATATACAACCATTTTAAACGCATACAGTAAAGCAATGAATCTAAACTTGCCTATTTCAAAACTATGATTAAAGCAGCATTAATCAGATAAGAGAGATAACATGTCACACTCTATTGGATGAATTATGTGTTTAGTTGACAATCACGTTACCTCTAGATCTCCTTTGGTAATACATGCTTCCTCTACACGAAACTGCAGGTCCTCCACTTTCCTGGAAGAGAATGAAAATGATGAACTTTCACAAACTTAGAAACAAACCTATGAAGGGAACAAGTGCAAACCATTATCTGATAATTCTTGAGTAAATAACAGCCTATCAAAGAAGTACTACAGTCTTTGTTTCTTTTATTATTTTCTTTCCACATTTGAACAATTTCACTTCCAGCACTACATAATAAAAGGT